ATCCAATTAACTTGCCCTGCAAGTAAACCAACATGCAACAACTTCTGCTCTGGACCCACTACAATTACATTATCTTGGTGCCTTATTTCTGTTACATATTTTGGCTCATGAGAATTTACAGTGAATCCCTTTCTCTGACCGATCGTATAAAACGGGTATCCTTTATGTGTTCCGATTGGATTACCCAATTCATCAAGCACATTCCCATCCGAGACCCTTGTTTCTAAATCAGGCAATGCGTCTTTTAAGAAACGTTCGTAATTCATATCAGGAATAAAGCAAATTTCGTAGCTCTCTTTTTTCTCTGCCGTTTTCAAGCCGAACTCTCTTGCCAGTTGGCGTACTTGGGGCTTTGTTAGATTTCCAACGGAAAAATGGTTTTGCTAAGCGCTTCCTGCGAAATGCCCCAAAGCACATAGCTTTGGTCTTTATTTGAATCTTTACCTTTGGAAAGTAAATAACGACCATCTTCGAATCGTACATTTGCATAATGACCTGTTGCCATAAAATCCGCGCCGAGGCGTTTTGCTCTTTCTAACAAAGCCTCCCATTTTACCTTTGTATTACACATCACGCAGGGATTTGGCGTTTTACCATTCAAGTACTCTTTTTTAAAATAATCTATCACAAGGTCTCCAAAATCAGCTCGGAAATCGATTGTATAATGTGGGAAATCATTTGACACGGCTACGTTTCGTGCGTCATTAATTGATTCTAACGAGCAACATCCCGTCTCCTTGTTGCTTTTAGGAGCACCTGCCATGTCATAATCCCAAGTTTTCATTGTAATTCCGATGACTTCGTAACCTGCTTGCTTCAATAATACCGCAGCAACAGAGGAATCTACCCCGCCCGACATACCCACAACGACTTTTTTCTTCATTTTCTCTTCCATTACTTTACTTTTTTATTTTACGCGTTCGCCAAAAAGAGCAGATCCAATACGAACCATTGTGGAGCCGCACAAAATAGCATCTTCAAAATCATTCGTCATCCCCATCGAGAGACAATCAAACGAGTTATAACTTTTTGATAGTTTGTCGAATAGTTTTTGCATCTGCTTAAATTCTGTTTTTGCTTTCATAGGATCATTACTCGCAATACACATTAGCCCCCGAATATTTACATTCGGAAGGTCTATTATTCGCTTTAACACCTCCTGAACATCTGAATACTGAAAGCCCGCTTTCGTTACCTCATGCGAAACATTAATTTGAAGTAATCCATCACTCACTTTCCCAAAATGCACGGCACTCTTTGAAACGGCTTCTACTACCTGATAGGAGTGAATGCTGTGAATTAAACTCACGTTTGGAACTACAAATTTAACCTTATTCATTTGCAAGCGACCCACAAAATGCCATTTCATAGTCTTTCCGTCAAAAGCACTATCGTTTTTTTTTGCAAGAAGTTCCTGCACATAACTTTCACCAAACTCACTCACACCCGCTTCCATTGCTTGGACCACCTTTTCAATAATAACAGACTTAGAAACGGCTACCCATGTAATATCATCCGACCTCCTACCCACACGCTGCGCTGCTCGATGTATTTTCTCTCTAATTTCGTTTACTCTTTCCGCAATTTCATTCATACACTCAAACTTCTATGTATTCGTCCGTGAAGTTAATTTGTGGTAGTAAATATATGAAATCCACAAAACCGCAAGCACAAACAATGGAAAAAGTGCTTGCCCGCCAATACCGTCTATTACAGCATGACTAATAGCTGCGAACATAAAATTAAAAGTAAATCCTGCATAAGCCCATTCCTTCACACACTTAGGAACTTGCGGAATAACCAGGGCAAGCACACCTAAAACCTTGAACACAACTAATGCGTTATCAAAATAATCGGGATAACCCAAATGTCTAATACTCTCTTTCGCCATCTCTGTTTGCGAAAACAGCAAAGGCATCACGCCTTCAAACAGAGCAATAAACCCTGTCGTAACCCAAAACAATATGACTTCCTTTTTCATTTTTTACCTATTTTTGTTCAGTTTTTTTATTCATTTTACTTAACCTTTACTCAACCTATTTTGTCGCTCAATGGAGTAAAATACAATATTAATGGAAAAGTCATATCCTTTTTATACATTTACTTACATATTTCGTAAAAGGTATTGTTCTGTTGTACACATTAAGGAGGCGGCGGCTCTCCTCCAAAGTTAGCAATTAAGTGATAAGAAGCGCCAAGCCCTACATGACAGTGATATAGCACGATTTTTTTTATATTTTTCATGATTGAAGAACCTCCGATAATTGTCGGGGGTTCTCATTTTGTGTAGGAATTAATTTAAATCCTTCACGGTTTGATATATTTCATTGGGTTTATAATCAGGGGTAGCACCCATTTTTGAGGCAACATATGCACCTAAGCGTGAACTATAATCCAAGGCTGTTTCCAGGGATTCGCCATTGAATTGTTTTGAAATAAAACCAGCTAAAAATGCATCTCCTGCACCTGTTGTATCCTCTGTATGTACTCTATAACCAGGGTGTTTTAGAAAGACATTATTTTTTAGGACGCAAGCTCCGTGAGCACCTTTTGTTAAACAGATACACTCTAAACTAAAGCGTTGGCTAAGTTGTTGCAACGTATCTTTTTCGTCTCCATTAAACCCATACCATTCGGAAATGATAGGCAATTCCTCGTCACTTAATTTTAGTAAAGTTGAAAGAAGGAGTAATTCATTCACCAGTTCTTTTGAATAATAGTGTTGCCTAAAATTCAAGTCGAAGATTTTTATTTCAGAGGAGGAATGAAGTAAGGCTAAGAGTGTTTTACGTGATTCTGCGTTTCGAGCGGAAAGCGTGCCAAACACAATGGCAGAAACATTGTTAGTGCTTTTTTTCAGATCATTGGTTAGTGAAATGAAATCCCAAGCGGCGGGATTCATAATGTTGAACTTAGCGAAGCCATCGTATATTGGGTCTATTTTTACCAAGCCTGTTTTCATGGAGTTATGCACTTGAATTAAATTTGTTTCTACGCCTGCATCGTGTAAGTATCCCAAAAGTGTTGCACCATGTTCATCGTTTCCGACTGCACTTACCATAGTTGCAGGAATATTGTTTTTAACGAGGTGCAAGGCAACATTCATCGGTGCGCCACCTGGCAATTGCTTTTCGGGATAGCAATCCCAAAGCATTTCACCGAAGCATAAGACTTTTTTCATGATTTTAGAGTTTTGTTTCCAAGAGCCAATCTCTTGGTTTTAGACATTTGTAAATGTCTTTTTCTCTCTCCGTTTTGGGTTGATAGTCATAGATCCAATGCACTTGGTTAGGAAGTGACATTAAGATGGATTCTGTTCTGCCAAGCGTTTCGATTCCAAATAAAGTCCCACGATCAAAGAGCAAATTAAATTCAACATAACGTCCTCTTCTGTAAAGTTGGAATTCTCTTTCTTGAGACGAATAGGGTTCAAGGTTTCGTTTTTTAACGATAGGAAAATAGGCTTTTACAAAAGCATTTCCGACTGATTTAAGGAACTCGAAATTTTTTAGGAGGTTATCATTCAAATAGTCGAAGAAAATTCCTCCAACACCGCGTGTTTCATTTCTATGAGGGAGAAAAAAGTAGTCATCACATTTTTGTTTATACAGATCATACGATAAATTTTCGTGTTTAGAGCAAGCGTTTTTTAGTGTTCGATGAAAGTGTTGAATATCCTCAAGATAGGGAAAATAGGGTGTTAAATCGGCACCTCCACCGAACCATGCTTTCAGAAGAGTTCCATTTGAATCGTATTGTTCGAAATATCTATAATTGCAATGGGCTGTGGGAACGAAAGGGTTTTTGGGGTGAATAACTACGGAGACACCGGTTGCAAAGAAGTCAGAAGGCATTGTATTTAGTCGTGTTGCCAGCTTTTCAGAAAGTGATCCTTTTACATTTGAGAAGTTCACACCTGCTTTTTCGAAAACGGAACCGTTTTCTAAAACTCTTGTAATACCTCCGCCGCCTGAATTTGGCATTTTCCAATTATCCTCTCTAAAAACGGAAGGCGCGTCGTTCTCATTTTCTCTCTCAATATTGACTACTTCCTCTGTTATTATGCGATGCAGATATTCTATGTATGTTACGACGGATTCACGCATCTTAAATTTCAAATCAAACTTTCTTGCTTTTCTTCAAAAAAAGAGTCAGAAACGACAATTCTGCCACAAATTTCACAAATATGCATGCCTCCCTGTAATACTTTCAAATGACGGCTTGCGGGGATTGAAGTACGACAACCCGAACATGCATGTCTATCGAACGGAACAACAGCGTCATTCACGCGACAAGAAATAGTTTCAAACAACTCAAAGAGATTTTCATCTACAGAGAGAATTTTATTTTTTAATAATGAAATAGCTTCATCAAGGGATTGCAATTGGTGTTTAGATTTTTCTCTTATTGATTGTAGCTCGGAAACAAGTGTTGAAAGCGAATTAGTTTTTTCAGAAATTTTATTTGTCAGACCTTCCTCGCTTTGGATTGTATTCTCCAGACGCATAATTTCCAAAACCACATCCATTCTTTCTTTTTCTTTTTCTGCTTCACTTCTTCTTTCATTTTCAATTTGTGCAGAAAGTAGGTCAAAATCTTTATTACTTTTCACTTCGTTTTGCTGCTCTTTATGCTTTTCAATTTTTTCACGAATCGCAGTTATTTCCAATTCTACATTTTTTAAATGCGCATTTCTCCTCTTAATTAGATGCGTATTCTTTTCCAACTTTGATTCTAATTCTCTAATTTGGAAATCTAATATTTCAATTTCTTTAGGGATAGTGCCTTCATTTTGAAGAATGTCAATTTTCTCCAATACCTTCTTCTGCATCTCGACAAGATCAGCAATCAATTCTTTAGATACTACCATATTACCACTTTAATTTTCTCTTTAATGTTATCCAGCTATCCATTTAATTTCTAAATAAATAATTCAATGTTCGACATCATTTCACTTTTTAACCTACCCAAATATCTATCTTGAACCACCTCGGATTTAGTGCCCGAAAGGAGACTTGAACTCCTAAGCCTTTCAGCGCTCGCACCTGAAACGAGTGCGTCTACCAATTCCGCCATCCGGGCAAATGTTTACAAAGTTAACATTTTAAAACTTTTCGGCATTGTTTTTCTTATTTTTTCGCCTCCTATTTATTTCAGGTGTAGATATCTAGTTTTAAATTTTTATTTTTTTCGATTTCATCCAACCCCTCCGATCGAGATCAATGAATAGCAACATAATTGACGTAAGTGACACTAAGACAAGTACAATAGAAGAAAGCCATTGTGAAAAAATAGCACGTCCAATGGCAAACATTAAACTATAAAATGAAATAACGCCAAGCAACCAATCTATAATCCAGAAAATAAATTTCTGTCTATGGGAATATTTTGAAGTGGGAAATGAATTTTTTTTCCAAAACAGTCCCCCAATTTGTGCTTTTTCACAAAATGATTCTAAAATGTCTACTCCTTCTGGATTCGTCAAATACGTTATAGCAATAGACATAAAAATGGTTAAGAGCGTAATTACAAAAAAAGATCTTTGAAAATCAATTTCAAATAAGTAAGAAAAAAACATACCTAAATCAGGTGAAATAAAGCACGTCCATTCTGTCCAAATATTAATCCTCCACCAAAACCATCTTGCAACCAGCACAAATCCTGCGCCAGTTCCGATTTGCAAAAAAAAATTCAGGAACATTATTAAATATTTCGTACTCCCAACAGACATCCACAAAGAGAATAAGCCCACAATAAGGACTAAAATGGGTACAATAAAAATCGGAGCCGAAGTAAATCGCTGATATAAATATGCACTTCTATGTATTTTTTCTTTCCAAATCGGGTTGATCAAATCATTAAACAAGTAGCTTGCAGCCAGATTGAATTGAGAAGACATATTTGACATGTACATGCCCAAAAACATAATCAACAACAAAACTCTGAAAATAGGTTGATCTAAATGCAAAATAGCGTACACGATGTTTCCTTCAGCAACAAGATTTGGATAGAATGAAACACTTATTAGACCTAAAATAATCCAAACCCAGGGTCGCAAGCAGTAATGAATCAATGTAAAAAGCAACATAGCCCACATTGAGTGTTTTTCGTTTTTTGCGGACATTACCTTTTGAATTAGCATAGGGCTGTTTACGTTTTCAACCCCAAATGTAGCTATTGACCACCATTGAACAAACAATGTAAAAAAAAACCCTACGGAGGTCAATTCAAAAACACCAAACTGGGATTCAAAATCATGCTCTACAATTTTTGGCAACATTGAAAACATCCATTCAGGCACACTTTTTTGCAACCCTCCCATACCGACAACCTCTGTATGATTCAACAGCAAAATACTTGCCACCACACTAAAAACAAGCACAACCACAAAAACGATAACCCCAAGCACGACGACACCCACCTGACCAGCCATTCCTGTATACGTGATTGTAACGAGTGCCACAAACAAGAAAAGAAAGTGAGCTTCTTCGGAATTAAAAAACAAGGAGAGTATTTTTTTTAGTAGGGTATTCATCAAAATACATGAGAACCCAATAACAAACACGCCGAAATAAATAGCCTTAAACCTTCGTAAGTATTTTGCAGGCTTTCCGCTATAACGTGTTTCAATAATTTCTAAATCTGTGAGAACATGTATTTTTCTCCAATAGCGAGCCAAAAAAAAAGTAAAAAATAAACTCCCCACCAGCGTGGACTGCCATACCCAATTACTTGATACACCTCTAATCGCATTATGACCAACGATAGTTAAAGCAAAATCTATCGAGTAAACAGCGGATGACATCGCCATTCCCACAACCCACCATGAAAATTTGCGATTTCCTAAAAAAAAACCTTCCGCTGAATGAAAAGTAAACTTTGAAACCCATAATCCAGCAAGAAAAAGAATAAGAACAAATACAACACTTAGCACGACGTACATAAGCCAAATTTTCTAAAGTCAAAGTCAATACAGAATGGGGTCAAAATATCAATCACAAAAACGTCATGACTTAGTTTAATTTTTAAAAGCATACAAGCATATACAAAATCCCATTTAATACCCAAAACAAATACAGAAACGTTATTATTCTCTCGTTTTATTATTTAAATTAGTCACACTTCATAGCTAAAATATGTTTTATTTTTGATAGTAATGTGTTTTACTTTGTCCGAGATGGTTGATAGGTCGGTATCCTATTGCGATAGATGTAACCGTTGCAACAGAGGTGAGATACTTATTCAACTATAAAAATTATTGAAAAAGCACAAAGGTTGACATAGTTCTACTAACGTGTCTTTTAATTCAATCTTAGTATTTAATCTTAATTGTTATAGCTCTAAAACGAATAGTTAATCACGACCAAAATGAAAATAAATGTTGTCATGCCCAAGATGGGCGAAAGCGTCATGGAAGGCACCATTCTTAAATGGCATAAAAAAGTGGGTGATAAGATTACAAAGGACGAAAATATTCTGGATATTGCGACAGATAAAGTGGATGCTGAAGTTCCGTCTCAAGGAGATGGTGTTCTGCTCGAAATTTTATACAAAGAAGGAGATGTCGTTGAAGTAGGTAAAGTTATTGCAACCATTGAAACCGACCCTGTTTCATCCTCTGTGCATAATACTTTGGCAAACATACCTAAGCCAACTGATTTGAAACCCGCCCCGTCAAATTCACAAGAAAGTCCAGCCTCTACTCAATCATCTTTACAAGGTGGAATTTTTGATATTGTTATGCCTAAAATGGGCGAAAGTATTATGGAAGGAACTATTCTTCGTTGGCATAAAAAAGTTGGTGACAAAGTTAAAAAGGACGAAAATATCTTGGACATTGCCACTGACAAAGTGGATGCCGAAGTTCCATCTGTTGCAGAAGGTATTGTTACAGAATTACTTTACAAAGAAGGTGATATTGTTGAAGTAGGCAAAGTCATCGCCCGTGTTTCTGCAAGTTCTGAAGGAAGCGCTTTTATGGAACAAATGAAGCATCCATCTTCCTCAAACGCACCCTCATTTGACAATATTTCCAGCAATAATGAGGAAAAAATAAATAACACATCTATTAACCACACAATGTTATCAAATAGTAAGCGATTCCTTTCACCTGTGGTTTTGAATATTGCAAAAGCACACAAGATTCCGTTACAGGTTCTCGATACATTAACAGGAACAGGGATTGACGGAAGACTAACTAAAAAGGATATTGAAACATATCTAAATAGCCCCACAGCTAAAAGCACACAAATTCAATCTTCTAACACAACACAAGTAACACAAACATTCTCACCCACGGGTAAAACGGCTTATGATCCGTCGCAATCACAGATCGTACCCATGGACAACATTCGCCGTGCAATTGCTGAACACATGATACGTTCCAAACATACTTCAGCACATGTTACATCCGTATCAGAAGCTGATGTTACAGGTCTGGCATCTCTCATTTCACAGAAAAAAAATGCTTTTCAGCAAACGCACAGTGTTAAACTGACGTTTACTCCGTTCTTCGTTCATGCCGTTTCACAATGTTTGAAAAATTTTTCAATGATAAATAGTTCAGTAGAAGGCACGAATATTATTTACAAAAAGTATATCAATATTGGTGTTGCCGTTGCGTTAGGTGAAAAAGGCACAGGTGGATTGATTGTGCCTGTTATAAAAAATGCAGATCAATTAAATATCATTCAACTTTCGCGGTCTATACAGGATTTGGCTTCGCGAGCACGAGATAAAAAACTTTTTCCCGAAGAAATGCAAGGAGGTACATTCACCATTACAAATTATGGTATCACGGGCAATCTTTTCGGAAGTCCCGTCATTAATCAACCACAATTAGCAATTCTTGGTACGGGTGCTATCGTCAAGCGCCCAGTTGTTATCACACAGCCTGATAAAAGCGACACGATTGTTGTAAGACACATGATGTATCTCTCTCTATCTTACGATCACAGGGTCATTGACGGAGCGCAAGCAGGGTACTTCCTGCAAGATTTAGTAAATATCCTTTCAAAGTACGACGTAAATTACCCAATTTAAAACATGAACGAAAAAAGTACGCTTGGATTAAAGCCTGATTGGCTCAAAGTCAAAATACCACAAGGAGAAGGATATTTAACATTGAAAAAAAAAGTTGATTCTCTTAAATTGCACACGGTATGCGAGGAAGCACGTTGCCCTAATATTGCGGACTGTTGGTCCTCGGGTGTGGGTACAATCATGATTTTAGGGGAAACATGTACGCGTTCATGTGGGTTTTGCGCCGTTAAAACGGGAAAACCACCAGTTCTTGATTTAAATGAACCTAAACGAGTAGCCGAAATGGTTAAACAAATGGGTCTTAACTATGCGGTGATTACGAGTGTAAATCGTGACGAACTTGAGGACGGTGGTGCGTCTATTTGGAGACAAACGATTCGTGAAATTCGAAACTCTCATACCTGCCTTATTGAAGTTCTCATTCCAGACTTTCAAGGTTTAGAAACCGCAATGGATACCGTCTTTTCAGAAAAACCTGATGTACTTAATCATAATATTGAAACCGTCCCTAAACTTTACAAAATAGTTAGACCTCAAGCAAAATACGAACGCTCGTTACACCTGCTCAAACGTGCAAAAGAGCAATTTTCTCTTACAACAAAGTCTGGTATTATGGTTGGTTTAGGAGAGACCAAAGATGAAGTTATTGAGGTCATGCACGATTTATCACGACATCAATGTGACATCCTAACCGTAGGTCAGTATTTACAACCAACTAAAATTCACCTGCCTGTGAGGCGTTATGTTCCACAAGAAGAATTTGAGTATTATTCACATTACGGAAGAGAACTGGGATTCAAGCATATAGAATCAGGACCATTAGTACGGAGTTCATATCACGCAGATAAACAAGCAAAAGCAGCCCTTACGAAACTATAAACACATACGAAGTTTATGCATGTTGTTGACACGGACATTTTTTACGAAATTCAGAAGTTAAAAACCGAAAAACAAGCGGTTATATTGGCTCACTATTATCAAGAACCTGATATTCAGGACATTGCAGATTTTTTAGGGGACAGTTTGCAGCTATCGCAGGA